CTCCTCTGGCTATTGGTCACTCGCTCACAGCTCTGCCTTTGGATGAGTCCGTAGGGTCCAGTGGTCCTTACCCAGAGCTAGTTGGTTGCCTCATGTACTTGATGACTTGCACTCGTCGTGACCTAGCATACCCTCTTGGCCTTCTCGCTCGCTTCGTGGCTCCTGGTCGTCACCGAAAGGTGCACTGGCATGCTGCAAATAGGGTATTGCGCTACTTGTGCAGTATATCAAGCATGGGGCTCGTGCTTGGAGGAGGGAGCTCAGTTGTTCTCACTGGGCACTCAGACGCTTCTTGGGTTGACGACCAGGCTACTTAGCGGTCGTCACAGGGTTACACCTTCAGCCTTGGCTCTGGTTCAGTTTCGTGGCGCTCTACTCGTTCGTCTTCGGTTATCAGCTCCAGTTGTGAGGCTGAGATCTACGCCATAGCCATGGCTGCACAAGAGTTACGCTGGCTCACCTACCTGCTGACCGACCTTGGAGAGCGGCCTAGTTCTCCTCCGGTGCTGTATGTCGACAACAAGGCTGCCATTGCCTTGTGTCAAGAGCACAGACTGGAGCACAGAACGAAGCACATCGCTCTCCGTTACTTCCTTGCTCGTGAGCTTCAGCAGCATGGTCAGCTTTGTCTGCGCTACGTGGCCTCTCAAGCCAACACCGCTGATGTTTTCACCAAGGCACTTCAGTCTGGTGATCATCAACGCTTCTGTACTTTCTTGGGGCTAGTGCCCACTTTGTCTCACTTGTTGTAGGCTTTGTCTGTACTGTGATCTTTATATATACTCCTGCCTGTTTGCTCTGCTAGGTTGAGATCACCCTTGTTGTTTGTACTACTTATATATACTTCTGCATGTGAACTGGCCTTATAGCCCTTTGCTTGTGCTCGGAGTGTGTGGTGACGTTGTGATCCACCCTGAGCTTTTTGTCTTTCTTGACTGGTCTTGTGACCCCTTGTTCTCCCCCACTTTGCTTATGGGGGTGTGTCAAACACTATATGTGTTATTATTGTGTAGGCTATAGTGGGTTAGCCTTTAGGGGGTACACAAAGTTAGGGTTTCCTACTTGTACTCCAACTTTCATAGTGCAATCACTTCTTGTTCGTAATAGCTTCCCTGCTTGTGCCCCTTGAGCTTTCTCTCATGCATGGTGTAGAGGTGGTTGATTGGGCGTCCCTCCCCGTCCACGCCTCGCACCTGGACCTGCTTGCCTCCACCTTCCTTGTGGAGCTTGAGAAAGTTGACCAACCAGCTTTTGCCCTCTCCTCCAAACGGCTTGTCGGTCGTCAAGTACCGCTGTGTCAGATCCCTCGTGGTGGACTCAATGGTCTTTGCAATCTCTGTCACATCCAGCTATCACCGTGCAGACATTAAGAACAGGATATACTATTACCAGTAGAAAAAAAAAAAAAGATTCATAATCACATGCCATCGCACACTGGTAAAAAAACTCTCGTAATGCCTCTAGAAGCAGCAGTTGAGGTCGTTCATGTCGACGAGGGAAACAGGCAGAATTGGAACTTGTAGTGCGTCACAATCTTGTAGGCCTTGTGGTTGTGCTCCCAGAGCAGCACGATGCAAGCGCGAAGGACCTTACATAACCAGCGAACCCCGTCCCCTCGTGACGGCCACCGAACCATGTGGATTCCATGGACTTCAAGGTTCATCCTGTAAATCACTCGCTGCAAGTATTTGAAGCGTTGACTCTAGACGCTTGATGCCCCGAGCAGCGTAGCCACAGTGCGCACCATCTTGTCGACCATTTCAAGGAAGGGAGAAGATAGGATGTAGTCACATCCGCGTGAGGTAGGTACTGATGTTGTGAACCATCTGCTGGAAGCCATACCTGCACATGAGTGAACCAAATGATAAGCTAACATTTTAACGCAACAAACATAACAAAGCCCCACACCAAAATAATGACATACAGTGTCAGATAGACCCTGTAGGATTGCCGCAGAATGTCGGGCGTGTCTTGCTCTGCAAGATGCCGCATCAACTTTGGGAACATGCTGATCGGCGCGTTGCACTGGCACAGAAATTGAACCGACTGCATGAGTTGAGTCACGCGCCGCCCCTCGATGTCCGTGTTGATAAAATCAGAAATCACCTGCTGCCCCTCGCGGATGCCCTGCACAATCTTCATCTGCCGGTCCATCGCCGCCGTGTGAGCGTCCGTGTGCTCGTGCGCCCTAAACGACTGCGTGTGCAAGTCACGGTCTCCGTTATCACCTTGCCTAGCATACATCGTGTTTTCCTTCCCATACGACATGTATATTGCACTTCACATAGGGAAATCCGTCCTTGGTTTTCCCAAACAACAGCCACGAAAACTGGCGCGACCACTTTGTCTCGTAGTTAACACTTGCCTCAAGGTACATCTCCTCTCTTAGCTGCATCTTGGTGAGTGCGGGCGAGCCGTGTCCGCGCGGACAGGGATATCACCTTCCTCCGGGATCTAAGCGTCATCGTGTGGTTGATCAGCCGGATTGTCAGGCGGTGGAATACGGCGGCCTCCGACGACCGAGGTACTCTGCGCCCACTTCCCAGATCGCGCTCGCTAGGGAGTGGAAGAAGCCAACGGAGGACCAAGGGACACTTTCATGGTGCTCGGAGTGGGACTAGGCGAGGGCGGTGGGGGTCCTTATTGCAAGAAGCAACAGCCGGGGGTAGAGTGAAGGCGGCGGGACGGGGAGAGTCAGACACGGTGGAGGTTCGTCTAGCTGCAGAGTCATGAACGCTAGACCTTGGAGGTTCAGGCGTTACTGGAGCACCGCTAGTTCTAAGAAAATCGAGCCCAGAGCGGGGGGGGTTTGAAGCTTTCTCCGGCAGGGTAGGCTCAGGGCTGACGTTTGAAATTTAGGTACCCTGATGTCCACCTAAAAAAAAAAAACTAACCCTGAAGGCATATTTTCCAGAAAAGCAGCACCCTGATTGCTCAGTGTTGGGAAGTTATACAGTCTGAGTGTTCAGGGTCGAGAAGTCAAGATCAGGGTACGTGTAGTAACGCGTTGTGCATTATCGAAACTGAACTTTCATGGTGAATCTGTTCTGTGAAAGGGCGAATCTACAATGTCAGATACATTTTACTGTGATTGGCCAAGACCTTTGTGGTCTGACAGCTCAAATCTGTTGTGTCAGGGCCATTTCGCTGTGATTGGGCAAACTCGTTACTCCGTACGGCGCGAATTTGCTTTGTCAACGCGAATTTTTAATGACGCTGGTGCTATGACTAGTCAAGACGGGTTTGACTCACCAGTTTGACCCTCACTAGTGAGTGATGAAGACTCACTTTATGCTTCACCACTCACTCGTGAGGGTCGAGATTCTCAATGGTGGTGGGTGCATCGGAACGACATTTAAAACCCGTAGCCTGAATTACAACAACTGTTAGGGGTGTTAACACTTTCCCTCTCGAACCTGGGTGGTTACCAGGGTTCGAACCAGTTTGCCGTGAGGAAGTCGCACGCAACACAGGGAAGGATCGCAAGGGTCCCTGGCAATGACTTCGGCTATGGGTGTGCATACCAAGCAGGAAATTGTAATTCAGGTCGACAGAAATCGACCAGTTCCTAGCCTAAAAATAGCCTGGCGTTCTGCTTAGACCTGGCTTTTTCTCTCCAACTAGTGCAGTCTCAATCGCGATCCGTGCACATTAGGGTTACTCCCTCTGTCGCCTACGCTCATCCCTCCCATCGCGGATTCATTTCTCAACCATTTGCAACGCTCACTTCCCTCCCGTCGCCTTCGCTCTTTCCGCTCCATCGTCCCCTCTATCACGATAAAGCGGGGGGGGGGGGAGGGGGGGAATGATTACGCACATGGTACGCGCTGGCTGTAGTGCAACCAATCCGAAGGGGGGGTTCTCAAAAGAAAATTTCCTCGAAACTTCTTCTCGATAAGGTCAAATTCAGGGACCACAGATTCGATACTCTGTACAGTCAGACTCCGGAAACGACTAAGTCTGAAGCCTATTACATGTAATCGGGGGCCCCAAAACATTAAGTCTGATGCATTCAGTGATGAAAATTAGACTAGTCTGGAAATCCATTTTCCACCTAGTGCAAGGTCTGATTCGTCAGACTAAATAGTCTGATAGCGTCAGCCCTGGATAGGCTCCGTGTGTTTCGCCAATAAAGGTGGCTCATCTGGGCCACCCTGAGGAGAAGCATCGTCTGCCGGCAGGCCTTCCATGGCGGCAAGATATAAAAGAGGTGGAGCGAGAGGGAGTGCGAGAACGAACGGACCAAATGAAAATAACAGCAGCACTACCACGAGCCTTGCTGGGGGCAGGGGGAAGAAAGAGATTGTAGGAGATGGCGGGGTCATCAAGAAACCTCTGCGACACCACGAATTTGATTACCATACTCGAGTCGTCAATGAATTCGGCTTTTGATGCAAGGCCGAATACATAGAACGACTGCCTGACTGCCAGCGTTGACTGTCAAGATGCCTAACTGGCCAATGAAAGAGGCATGCTGTGCATTGTGCGGTGGGTGTGGCAGCAAAACATAATTGTCTGGTTGGGTTGTCCCTTTTGACAGCTGTGCTGTACAGCGTGGTGTTGGGTTACTTGTCCGTATTACGTCACTTCTGTGCGTAAAAGGGGTCCCTCACATGAGTGGAACGGAAATCATGATTACGCACATGGGGGGTTATCTAGACGAAGTTTCCAGGAACCTTCGTCCCGATACTGTCACATTCAGGCATACTCTGCATTGACAGAATCAATAACACTACTCTGAGCCTTTATGCAGAATTTCAGAGTTCACTAAAGCATTAGTCTGAATGGATCAGTGTTCACAAGTCCTAAATTCTGAAATTGCAGGGACCACCGGGTGACTAGTCTGAAATCACCCTGAAATCAGGGTAATTACCCTGATAAAAATCAGCCCAGAATCAGCATTACTACGTGGACATCTGGGGGCATGCACCGACGCTCTAAGCCTTGAAGACTAGATAACAAAGCATGTTCTTTCTGTACAAATATTTCTTCCTATGTAGTCATGTACCGGTAGAAGATGCAGTTGCTCCCTCACTTGGCTTTAAGACAAACGTTGAGAGCAAGGGACAGCCCTTCCACACGAGCACCGCTGCGCCTTGCCTGATTTGGACTTCAAGGCCCTCGCTGCTGGTGTCCATGGCAGTTGCCATGGGTTTGAGAACATCCCCACTGATGGGCACCACATCAAAGCCCAGGCGCATGGCACGCGTGTGCCAGGCGTGCAGGTGCTCGGGGCGCATGCGGCGATGGATGCCCTCGCTGGCCACAATGTTGCTGATGCCCGCCCCCAGCACCTGCGCCTCCAGCACCCCGCGCTGTGCCTGTGACGCCGGGCAGGAGGGCGCGTGCAGGCAGTCAAACCATGCTGAGTAATGCTCCAGGGCCTCTCGGAAGCGGCTGAGGAAGAAGGGCGAGTTGAGCCCCACCTCCTGCTCCGTCACTGTCACCAGTAGTGGCCGTAGTGCGTGGATGGCCTGCACATGTGCCACACGCCACACACCACACGCCACAGGCCACACGCCACACGCCACAGGCCACACGCCACACGCCACAAGCCACACGCCACAAGCCACACACCACACGCCACATGCTACACGCCAGACGTCACATGTCACATGCCAAATGCCACACACCACACGCCACATGCCACATGCAACATGCACATGCCACACGAATATGCAGATGCAGCAAGATGTATATCTCAGAATGGGAGAGTGCACAGCCACAGCTGTCATCCACCCACCAAGCATTGACACGGGATATGAATGGATTGTGCAGGGGAGAAAACATAAAGAACGAATCTGGTCGCTGCCATATGTTACTGGATCACCCCAAGCACCTTTATGCACGCATCTACCTCCCCTACTGTGGAACTACAGCAGGGGAGGAAGGCGCGAGAGGGTGCACCTGAAGCAGCGAGTCGCGGGGGTTGGCTCGGATGACAGAGGCATCGCACAGCTGCTGCAGCAGCAGGGCGGCTCGCACCAGCAGCACCTCCCCCTCCTGCACGCCCAGCGCCTCGCGTGTCACCCCCTGCATGCCCACCTGCACTGCACGCACGCTCACATGCATGCCTAACCCACGCGCCACCTCCTGCACCTGCTGCACCAGCAGCGATGCAGCCTGAGTGGGGTGAGAGAGTGCGGGGGAGGGTGCAGGTGTGTGTGGCAGGTGCACAGAGGAAGGTGGATGGAGCGCAGGAGTAGGAGCAGCATAAGCAGGTGCAGGCAGCACGCAGCACTGTGGTGCTGCAGCTGCAGTGGCAGCAGCAGGGGCAGTGGCAGCAGCAGGGGCAGTGCTACGTGGCGTGGGAGGTGAGCCTTGAAGTGGTGGTGAGGGCTGTAGGGAATGAGTATCCGTGTGCTGTCCCTGTGCACTGCTGCAGTCATCCAACCTGCCCGCCTCACCGTGACCTGCTGCCATGCAAAGCCCATGCGTGCCAGGTGGCAATCTGCTTGCATGCACTGCAGCACCGTCTGCGCCTTGGTCGCCAGCACCAGGCAGAGCAGTAGCATCAGGGTTACTGGGTGGTGCGCGTGCAGGCAGCATGGGCTGTGCAGCCCCACCAGGCACGGGCCCCCATGCAGCATCCACTGCAGCACAGCCGGTGCCAGCGAGGCTGGGGGCCACGCCTTCAGTGTCGTGAGCTGCAGGTGGTACGGCAGCGCGGGAGGCAAGCGCGTAAACGTGTTCCGCACAGGACGTGGCAGGTGCAGCTGGTGCAGCAGCAGCAAGGCCCGCACATGCAGGTGAGTCCGTGTCAGCGCTGCTGCCGTGGTGTGAAGGCAGCAAGGGGGGTGTGCAGGGGGAGGCGGGGTGGGCATGGAGCAGGTGCACTATAGTGAGGCGCAGTGACACGGGGCGGTGCTGCGGCGCACATGCAGTGAGCGCGGCGAGAAGGGCGTGGCAGTGTGCAGCATGGTGCTGGCCCAGGTCCACCACGTGCACTGCCAGGGGGGCACACAACGCACGTGGCGACGGCGGGTGCACGCTCGTGTGCTTCTCATTTGCATGGGATGCTGGGTCACGCACACATGCCACTCCACCGCCCAGCTTCTCCGTGCCACACAAGCTGCTTCCTCCACGGCCCCTCGCACTGCCTTCATCCCTGAAAATACTCCCCTCCCTCTCTGTTCCCTCACCTTCCTCATCCTCACCAACAGTTTTCGCCCTTCCCTCCTCCCAACACCTCTCAGCTTCCTGCTGCTCCGCAGGTCTCTCCTCGCCCTCCTCCGTGCTGCTCCCCTGCCTCTCCTGCTCCTGCTGCAACGTCATCCCCTTCACTGTTCCTTCTCTCTCCACACGCCGCTGTCCTTCACTCACTGCCATTCCCGTTCCCACACTGTCAGCGGCAGCAGCACGGGCAGCGTGGTGGGCAGTGGAGGCGTGTGGGTGCGCATGGGGGTGTGTGAGGGCGGGCATGAGGGCGAGGTGCAGGGCATGGGTGGCGGAGCAGGAGAGGAAGTGGCGCAGGGGCGCGGCTGCGAGCACAGACGCCAGGGCGTTATCCACCTCCTGCACGCCGCACAACATGCACAGGGACAAGAAGAGGGACACGGCAGGGAGGGGCGTGGACGATGAGAAGAGGGACAAGACAGTCCGGGAAGAGAGAGACGCATGGCACAGGAGACAATGTGTGCACGAGAGGGATCCCAGTGCTCACATGTGAGGCGCGCAGCGTGCGAGGTGAGGCGGGGAGGAATGGCACGACATTGTTGGGCGTCCAGCAGCAGCATTCAGCAGCGGCCATGCCATGCAGCACAGAGTGGGGGCAGGCAAGCAGGGCGAAAGTGTGCAGTGCAGTGCACGCAGCCAGGGGGTTGGCAGACCAAGCTGCTTGTGGACGAGTGAGAGACGACGCCCTGTGCGTGCACGCACCCACCTGCAGCACGCACCCACCTGCAGCACGCACCCACCTGCAGCACGCACCCACCTGCAGCACGCACCCACCTGCAGCACGCACCCACCTGCAGCACGCACCCACCTGCAGCACGCACCCACCTGAAGCACGCACCCACCTGCAGCACGCACCCACCTGCAGCACGCACCCACCTGCAGCACGCACCCACCTGCAGCACGCACCCACCTGCAGCACGCACCCACCTGCAGCACGCACCCACCTGCAGCACGCACCCACCTGCAGCAGCACGCACCCACCTGCAGCACGCACCCACCTGCAGCACGCACCCACCTGCAGCACGCACCCACCTGCAGCACGCACCCACCTGCAGCACGCACCCACCTGAAGCACGCACCCACCTGCAGCACGCACCCACCTGCAGCACGCACCCACCTGCAGCACGCACCCACCTGCAGCACGCACCCACCTGCAGCACGCACCCACCTGCAGCACGCACCCACCTGCAGCACGCACCCACCTGCAGCACGCACCCACCTGCAGCACGCACCCACCTGCAGCACGCACCCACCTGCGGCATGGAGGGTGTGTGCAGCAGGTGTGCGGTGGCGGTGGCTCTGGCGGAGAGAGCGCGCACGAAGTAGAAGGCGGTGCGCTGCATGGGCGAGCCCACGGGGTCCACCTCCTGCCACAGGTGCTGCAGCAGGAAGCGCGCCCGCATCTGCACCCACGCAGCAAGGGCAGCGCGGATGGGTAGCGGGAGGAGGGAAGAGAATTAGAAGGAGGGGGCAGGGAGATGCTGGAAACAAGGAAGGTAAGGGGCGATGAGAGCACATGTGGTGAGAGCAGGTAGGGGTGCGGGTGGCTCACATCATCATGCGTGGCAATGGCTTCAGCCAGTGAGAGCAGCTGCTTCTTCAACAGCTGTACCAGAATGCTCTCCTCTGCTGCCTCCTCTGCTTCCTCAGCTGCTGCCACCTCCCCTTGCCCTCGCACCACCTCATGCTGCTCCCTCACCTGCCCCTGCCCTCCCTGATCCACCTCACATGTCCCGCACCCTGGCGTGCCACCACACTCACCACGCCCGCCACCAGCACCCCCACCCTCCATGCCTTCCTGCGAATGATCAGCAGCAGCAGCAGCGTGTGCCATGCTGCGATGCTGCATGCGAGCAATGCCACCACCTGCAACACACATCATCTCCCTCCCTGCGCTGCACCTCTCCACCATCCCCGCCCTTTCCTCATGACATGCCCCTTCTGCCCCTCTTTCCCCCCACCCCACGCCCTCTACCTCCACTCCCTCTCTCTCCTTGCGCTTGCCACCATGCCTATCGACCCTAACCCTCCACCCGCCATCCGCCCCTTCCCTCCACACAGCGCCTGGATCCGCCAACCCATGTCCGGCAGCAGCCCCCCCAGGGTAGCACTCCAGTGCGGCCAGACTTCCCTGCACTGCGCTGCTGCCGTGCAGAGGGTGCGAGAAGTACCGCGTGGCAAAGCCCCCTGCGCTGCCCACCTTCACGAGTGCGCCTCCCCCCAGCACCTGGGGCGCCACATGCCCCTCTGCCCGCCCCCACTGCTGCACCCACACGTGCTCGCTCGCCCTCGTGCCTGCCGCACCCGCCTGTCCCGTGCACTGCAGCGCCACACCACCTGCGCCCACACAACCGCTGGGGCGTTTCTCGCCATCCACCACCACACCTGCTGTTGCACACTGCACAGGCACAGCCAGTGCGGCAGCAGTGGCAGCAGGTGCAGGCGCGTGGGGCTGTGGCGCTGCCACGCACAGCGCATCGCCAGTACGACCAACTGCCCGCTGCGCCTCCTCCCCCACTGCTGTGCCACCTCTGCTGCTGGGCGTGGCACCCGTGGTGCGGGGCAGTGCTGCATACAGGGCCGTGTGGGGCGCCGCTGCGCACGTGTGCAGTGCAGGGCGAGGCCGCGCCCTGGGGGAGAGCACCTGCGCACTGGGCTGCCTGCTGCCTGCACCTCCTCGCCCCTGCGTCTCCCCTTCTCCAACCTTTCCTTCTCCTGCTTCGCCCTTGCTTTCTCCCGGTGCTTGTACGTGGTGCCATGGGCCATCCCCGTGTGCCACCATTGCCACACCCTCGCCTCCTCGCCTCGCTGTCGAGGGAATCGCCCTCCCATGCACTGCTCCACCCTGCACCACCCCATCTCCCTCGCACCCCTCCTCCGCGCCTTCAACTGGTTCTGCCCCTCCCCTTGCCGCGTGCACCCCCCTGGCACCCTTTTCGCCCGCCGCGCTCGTGCGCGCCACCCCCACGGCATTGAGAATCGCCTGCGCTGGGCCAGCGCGGCAGAGGGCGGACGGAGGGGGAGCAGGCGGTGGGGGCGGAGTGGCGAGGGCGTGCAACGGCGGGTGCGAGGGCGCGGGGGAGCAACCGGCGGTAGCTGCAGCGGCGAGCGAGTGTGTGTGCGGTTGACGGGTGACTGAGGCGAGTGGGGCAGTGGGGGAGGCGAGAGGCGGTGAGGGTTGTGCGGGTGGAAGTGCGAGCGCGGTGTGGTCGACCCGGTGCGCTGGCGGGGCGACGGCGCGATGAGCGGCCGTGGAAGCGGGCGCGTGTGGCAGCAGAGGCGAGCTCGCACTACTGGGCGTGGCGTTGGGTGCGCCATGCATGGTCGTGGCGGGGAAGGCCATGGCAGGGAGGGACGATGCGAGCAGCGCGCCAAGCTGACCGCGCGGCACGGCAGCGGCGGGCCAAACGGGCGGAAGGAGCGAGGGGACGGCGGTGGACCGCACGGGGGGCAGAGATCCGGGGAAACGCGCGCTCGAAGCCGGCTCCCCGGCTGTTTCGGCGCTTCTAGCGGCGGCAAGGGCGGTCGAGGTGGAGCAGGCGATGCCGTTTAAGTTGGATCCACCTCGCGAGGCAATCTGCAGCGCACCTGGCAGCGGTAGCGCTGCAGGGTCGGGCACGGCGAGCGCGTTAAGATTGAAGGCGGCTGACGGCGCCGGCGCGGAGCGCCCCATTGCCTCCGCCGCCACTGCGGCTGACGGACTCGCCGCCATCGAGGGGCGGTGGACGACGAAAGGACCCGCCCACCTGAACCCAATCCGAACGGCGCTACGCGACGGCAGAAGCGGAGAATATACTAAGGGCGGATACCGAAAGTACGTTTATTGTTTTTCAAATAACCCTACCGGGCCATATTAAAGTTTAAATAGACTGTTCTAGACCGTACCGAGCCACGTTGAGCCGCATTCGGACGTACTTTGGCGACACGCACTAAGCGGTGCGATAGCGTTTGAGGGATCGACCGGCAGAGAAGCGATAGTGAAGGTGCAAAAAGTTGCCACTTCCCCTGTGTTACGAGTGAATCTTATAACTAAGGGGCTTAGGAACTAACGAGAATGATGGTGTTTAGGTCAAAGGGGGGGGGGGGGGGGGGGGGGGGGGGGGGGGGGGGGGGGGGGGGGGGGGGGGGGGGGGGGGGTGGGGGGGGGGGGGGGTGGGGGGGGGGGGGGGGGGGGGGGGGGGGGGGGGGGGGGGGGGGGGGGGGGGGGGGGGGGGGGGGGGGGGGGAGGGGGGGGGGGGGGGGGGGGGGGGGGGGGGGGGGGG